ATGAGGAAAACATGTCAAAGTTACACCTTATATTTTTATCATTACCTCATTGGCTCATTATATACTTTCCATCATTATAAAAATTAGTAGAGTAATTCACTTTACACATGTAAAATTAGGTTTAAACTAATCTAATCAAATTTAATTGGTTATTTGAATCTCTATATAGTATTACCTTTGTCCCTAAATAAAAGATCGATTATTATTTTGTGGTCAACTCAAATAGTTTAAATGTTTAACTTTATATATCTAAATTTGATCACATTTGATTTTTTCTTTTAGAAAACTTTTAATGTACTTTGTGAATATGTAAATTTTATTTGCTAAAAATAATCTGTGTTTTCGTAAGAATCAGTATGCTTTGTCAAAAGTCAAACTTGGTAATCCGAATCGAATCCTTTTTTACCAAAAATTAATGCACTTTCTACCAAAAATTATACCAAAACGGTATTTATTTCTGAAAAAACTTTTATTGTGGAATATGATTCTACTTTTTTTATTGAAAATGACTCGGTATACCTTTTATTATGGAAGGAACGTTTTATTGTGGAAGGAGTCTTTAGCTTGTTACACATTTAGGGATTTTTTTTACTCCAAGGGGTCTGGGGGCATGAAGTAATGTGGGCTGAAACTCACTTTGTTGAATTTCGAACCCTTATGTGTCTAGTGAGTTTCGAACTCGAGACCTCCCACTAGACACGGTAAACTCACTCGATTGAGTTTTACATATTATATTGTAGATACGAATAAGACTGGTTTTATTGAAAATGAACTGGACATGAGATAACCGTTGCACAAGGACACAACTTTAATCTTTCACATAATTCATCATCCGGAAAATTTAGTAAGGGCATGAGATAAAATTATTGGGGGCAAATTCATCCTATTAGATACAAATATTTAAATTATTACATAGTACATAGCAATTCTATTAAGAATTTCGCTATCCACCCCAATTTGTACCTCACCCTATATTTGTGGCTCACAAATGCCCACTTCAATAAATTAAATACTCAATTTTAATGAGATGTTTTTGTGAACCACAAACATAGGGTGAAGGTACAAAATGGGATGGATTTAGCATTAATGATAAAACTCACCATCATCCATTCTTTAATTCTTGCAACAGTTTGACTTTCATGTTTGCCAACGCACAACTTTGACTGTGGTTATATTTAATTACATATTAATAAGCATTATAAAAAGTTGATATTCTAGATATACTAATTAATAGAAATTTAATAACATTTTTTACATAATTATTTGACTGTATATATTAGTAGAATATAATGGTAAATTAAGGTGTGTGAATAGTGCAAAAAATCCGACGCATCAACTATTAAGGAACGGAGGAGGTATATGGTTACATAATTGCGGAAGAGAGAAATCATTTCAATCATATACGGGAGTATTTATTACTTTAAATGTAAATGGTTAAGTTTTTTTTAAACGGATAAATAGAAAAGTCTCAAAGTTTATGAAATTGAGGGAATGGTAAATAATGTCAAATAATGTACTAAATTAAAAAAAACTGAAATTAAAAAATTATTATTAAGATATCTACCCGATATTCAAATTTAAAAGTTTTATAAAAAACGAATGGACTATCTTGGTATTAAAGCTTTGAGTTTTTGCCACTTTCGTTCTCCCGACTATTATGTCAGTGACACTTTTGATCCTCGACTTTTAATTTTTTTCATTATTAGTCTTCAACTATTGTGCTAGGGACACTTTTAGTCATCGACTTCAAGATTTCCCACATTTAGTCCTCTCACTATTGTCACATTGACACTTTTAGTCATCCCATTATGATTTAGACACAATAACTGAAGGACTAAAAATGACACTAATATAATAATTAAAATATCAAAAGTGTCACTTTTATGAAAGTTGAAGGACTAAATGTGGAAATTTTCAAAGACAAGTACCAAAAGTGTTTCTAGCGCAATAATCGAGGACTAAAAATGAAAAAAAAAAAAAACAAAGTCGAGTACCAAAACTGTAAATTACGGAGTACATAACAGTCAAAGGACTTGAAGCTCGTAAATTCTATCGTACAGCCGGCTGTACCGTGCGCACGGTACAACCGGCCATTTTTAGGCTCTGCGCTTCTTCTGCTTCGATCTTTGCTCTGCGCTTCTTCTTCGGCTTCGCACCAGCTTTTCCGATCTCCGTCTGGTTCTTTGATCTGGCTTCGTCTAGTTTAGGGGTGGACTCGGGCCGGTTCATGAAAGGGGAGGTCCGGAACCGGCCCGGGTAACCCCCCAGGTCCAGGTCGGGCCGGGCCTCGGTTCAATTTATATACTCCCTCCGTCCCAATATAAAAGGAACATTTGCGTTTGGGGAGTTTTTAAGGCTGATCACTGTTTGAACACTGTTTGACACTGTTTAGACACTGTTTGGCACTGTTTGGACACTGTTTGTCACTGTTTGGCACTGTTTTGCACTGTTTTGTTTGCCAAAAAGGGAAATGTGCCTTTTATATTGGGACGGACCGAAAGGAAAATGTGCCTTTTATATTGGGACGGAGGGAGTATATTTTTTTTGGCTTTTCCAAATTAACCCCCAACCCTCCCCCTCACCTCCAAACCACCCCAAACCACCTCAAATGGCCCAAAATACCCAGCCCAACCCAAAAACTTAAAAAATTCAAAAAAAAAAAAAAAAAAAAAAAAGAGAAGAAAAAAAAATAAATTGGCCCGGGCTGGGCCCGAACCGGCCGGGCCAGTTCACCTTTTAAGGGGCCCGAGCCCGGACCGGAACTCCAGCGGGTCGGGCCTACCCGGACCGGTCCCAAGCCGGGCCGACGGTTCGGGCCGGTTCAAACAGTAACTGGTTCGGGCCGGTTCCAGGGCAGGCCGCCCGGCCCGAGTCCACCCCTAGTCTAGTTGCTTCGTCGCCGGAGAAACCAAAGCGGAGATGGCCCCTTCTCCTCTAGAACGGACACAACAGATCTGATTATCCTCCCTCCCCTCTGTCTTTCTTTTCACTCTTTTCTGTTTTTCTCTTTTTCTTATTCAATTTTGGTGTTTGAGATTGTGATTTTGGAAGACAAAGCAAGTCTACTGCAGACAAAGGAAGACCCTATTGCTATTGATCTTAAATGAGTTTTATATTAAACTCAAATGAGTATACACATAAAAAAAATGAACATACACAACTGACTATTAAGCACATTAAAAATGAGTTTTATATTAAACTCAGATGAGTATACGCCTCAAAGAAATGAATATACACAACTGAATATTAAACACATTAAAAATGAGTTTTATGTCAAATTAAATGAGTATAACACCCAAAATCATTGAGGATACACAAAATGAGCTTTTGAAATTTTTGATACTCATTTTGTAAATTATGTATGTTCATTTGGTACTACTTTATACTCATTTTAAAATGATGCACATATCAAATTAGGGGTGGACTCGGGCCAGGCGGCCCGGCCCGGTTACTGTTTGGCCCGGCCCGGCCCGGGGCCTGGTGGGTCCATTGGTTCGGTTTGGCCCGGCCCGGCCCGGATGATGGGCGGTCTGGGCTCGGGCCCTGCTTTAGATGAACAGGCCCGGCCAGTTCGGGCCCGGTCCGGGCCAGATTTTAATTTTTTTTTTTTTTGATTTTTTTTTAAGTTTTGGGTTGGATTAGGTATTTTGGGCTATTTGAGGTGGTTTGGGGTTGAGGGGGAGGGGTAGGGCCGTAGGGGGTTAAATAGGAGAACCAAAATAAAAAATAAAAAATGGACCGGTTTGGCCCGGAACCGGAACCGGCCACCGGCGGTTCGGGCTCGGGCCCCAGTTTTCTGGCCCGAGGCCCGGCCAGGCCCAAGCCTCAACCGGGCCCGAACCGGGCCCGAACCGGCCTGGGTCCACCCCTATATCAAATATAATGCCCAAAATCAATGAGCATACACAAATGAAGTTTTGAATTTTTTGATACTCATTTTGTAAATTAAGCATGCTCATTTGGTACTGGATTATGCTCATTTTAAAATGATGAACATATCAAACATATCATACTACAGTAGATTAACATATTGAAATTAATTATAAATACAATTTAAGAGTTTTTTATATAAAGGGAAACTAATAAAAAGAAACTGAATTAGAAGATATGAAACAGAAATCACGGGTGCTCATTGTTAGGCTTCTAATACTCAGAAGAACAGACTCGATGCTCATCAAAATTACATCGATGCTCATTTACGAGAAAACGGAGAAATCATGAACTTCATCAAAATTACAAAAATGTCACCGGCTGTATGGTACCCATACGGCTGTATGGTATACGCTTCCCTTGAAGCTTTTGTGTATTGCTTCGTCCACATTAGGCATGGATACAGTCCTATCCCGGACCAATTCTCCACTCTTTTTCAGTTGTGTAATCAACCTCCAATAATACTTGTGATGTAAAGTAGTGAATTGTTGACTACTGAAGTACTGAACAATGATTCCTTTAATAGTTTAATGGCGACTCAAATTAGTTAGCTAGCAGCCTAGCAGGTTGCCTGATACTATGGGTGGACTCGGTTCGAGCCGGGCCCGGTTCGGGCCTTGAACCAGCCGGGCCTCGGTTCACCAAAAGGAGGGCCCGGACCCGAACCGGTGGCTCCCGGTTCCAGGCCGGTTCCGGGCCAGACCGGGCCAGTTCCGGGCCACCCGGGTCATAATTTTTTTTTTGCTTCTCTTATTTAATCCCCTATCCCTCCCCCTCAACCCCAAACCACCTCAATTGACCCAAAATACCTAATCCAACCCAAAACTTAAAAAAAAAATCAAAAAAAAAAAAAAATTCGGGCCCGGACCGAGCCTGAACCGGCCGGGTCGGTTCACCAAATGAAGGGCCCAGGCCCGGAACCGGTATCCACCAGGCCAGTTCGACCCGAACCGCCGTTGGACCGGGCCACTGAACAACGTTGTACCAAAAACAAAAGACACGCGAAAAGGGAAATTTCAAGGAGTAAAAGAATATATGGAGTATATTTTAGAATAGAAGTGTGATTTTCCCCCAAAAATATTACTCCGTACTAAAATAAAACTTATTTACACAAATAATTGTTGGCTGTTTTTATATTGTTTGATTTTTATCAGTTCTTTTAGTTTTGTGGATAATTGTTTTTTTAACTGTGACAAAATCAAACGGAAAATTTAAAGGATATTACAAAAGGTTCAGTTTTTTTGTAGAAATCATCATAGTTGGACTGTTGGAGGGTGCATTATACTGATGCAATATGTGGGAGGAGAGAACGGCAAGATTCATCCAGCTATCAAGACATATTTCCCATATCGCACATGTCATATCAGGACCACATGAACTGTGGTGGCAGCGATTGACCGTGACAACGGTCGCCTGATGGCCAATAACGGTGGTGGTGGTTGGAATTGTATCGGCGATGGTGAATCATGCTTGTATATTCAACCCTTGAATCTTGAGTATGACACCAATAATTTGTATTCACCATTATATGGGAAGAGGGGTTTCTGCAACTTTAAGGGATCCCCCCATTTCCATCCTCCAAGAGTGATCAACTAGAGGTGCCAATTCCCTATATGGTAAATAATCCATGCCATTCAACATAGTGTCAATTAATATAAAAAATCCAACAAAATGAAACCACCCACAACTAAATGAAACCACCCACAACTCTATTAGTATTAGAGAGAAGTAAGCACTCACTTGAGATCATGACTGACAATGAGTAAAGTTAGCTCTTTCTTTAGACTCTTCAGCAACTTCACAATGTCCGCACGAGCCTTCCAATCTTCACTCAACCATAAATGAATCAGTAATTAATAATAATAGTCATAGTAATAGCAACAACATCAACAATAACAAATCAATGCAATAAGAGAAAGTAGTTTCGTGTGAGTTTGAGAATCACACACCATATAGTGAATGCTACTATATTAAGAAGAAAACAACAAATACATTGATATCTTCATTTAATCAGAATGCTGGGGAGGAATTTATTGAAACTGGAGATCAAGGAGAATACCCTTTCAACTTTGAAAATTTGTCTGGAAAGAAATGTTTATGAAATATTAATGCAGCCTATGCAACATAAAGAAATGTTTACGAAATATTAATGTAGCCTTTGTTGAAATGGTGTAGTTCAACAGAAGAGATGATTATCACCTTCTTTATTCAACAAATAACTGACTGCTACAAATAACCATGTTATACATAAGGTTGTAATGACAACTATGTGACATAGGACGCCACCAAACTGCCTAGGCGACCAGGCAAGTGGCCATATGCAATATTTGAGTATCAAATATAGTAAATGGACTAGTAATTACTAATTAGTCATATTAATTTCAAACAAGAGTCTTACGTATCTAAACAATTTAGCGAAAAACGGTCATGTGATTTATGTGATTGCTATCTACAGAAACTAAAAGCATCATAAAGAAAAATTAAGTACAACAAATGAAGAAAAGGGAGAGAATTAAAGAAAGAATAAAATGAAAATAAAACGCAAAGTTGGCGGTCAGCGATTTGTCTTTAGCTTTTTTTCTATGTGCTCCATTTATGTTTGTTTCTAAGTCTGATGCTGCCATGTAGATCTAGAGAAAACAGGTAAGGTTGACATATCAATGCCCAATCGATGCCTAAGCGGTGCCGTTCAATGCCTGGCGTTCTTCAGGGGAGGCAACCAACCATAGCAAACATCCTCCACTGCCTGGAAGCCTCAGCATCGCCTAAACGATGTAAAGGCAACACTGGCTGTACAATGCTATTAAAGAAAATGAACACATAAAAATTTGATGCCTAAGCTCCTACACAAATAAATTACTACATATAAAGAGGCAGCAAGAATGAGCATACCGAGGCCTGCAAGAGGCTCATCTAATATCAACAAATCAGGTTTCTCAACCTGAGCACATAAGAGGACCAAATCCAAACAGTTAGCTTAACACCAACATTCCATTCCTTTTAATAAAATAGCCCACATATGCATATAAAGAATACTTACTAACTGAATTGCTAAAGCAAGTCGACGTTTGTAGCCCCCGCTTAATGAGTTGGGATCTTTATCCAAAGAGATTCCTGTCAAACCAACCTAAGAGTAGAATCACAAAAGATTTAGTCAAAACAAATAGTTTCACCCTTCACGTATCTGTCAAGCATCTTTTAAGTCCATAAAAGCAATGTGCTTAAATAGCACAAATCAATAAATGAAATTATTCACGTGACAATAAGAAAATGTGTGTGTGTCATTCCTAGACAGACAAGTTGCATACCAAAGTAATGGCCTTTTGGAGCTTTGAAGCAAGAAGCTCCTTCAGATGAAGGTTGCCGCTTTGTCTTGGCCAACCAAATGTAACTTCATCAAGCACACTGTCTCCAACAAAGTATCTAGTTGACAGCACATTAAAAGTTCAGAACAAACAAATCCCCAAGTTTGAGGAAAACCATAGCAATAACTCGTTAAAGTTTGAAAGTGAAGCAGTGTATAATTTGACATGGTAATAGATATTTGATTTAAAAAAGAAAAAGATATAAGAAGTTGAACCTCTCTGGAAATTGGAAAACAATGCCAACCCTTCCAGGGTTTAATGGTTCGGGACACTTACAGGGCAGGCCATCATCAGTATATTGTTGAATCTGAATGGAACCTGATGTTGGTTTGTTTAATCCTGCAATCAGCTGTTCAACAGTTTGCTTAAGACAAAAGGATATAATAATGAAACAAAAGGGGTTGCAGATGAAGAGAAATACAAACTTGCAAGAGAGTAGTCTTTCCGCTTCCACTTCGTCCAATAATCAAGCCACAACTGTTAAAATTATCATCATCATCATCATTTTCATTTATATAAAGGAAAATTCACATATCAATTAACTCTTCCCAAGATGCTAGTTTATATTCGCTTATTAGGTACGTAGTATTTAACAAGGAAATACTGGAGTTTTTAAAATATAAATACAAGATTAAATTTAATTACTATTTATGTTTAATTTAACCCCATCATTTCCAATGGAGCCAAAGACTCACTATTTTTTGGCTTGGGAATATGATGGAATAAAGCAAAACTGCTCACTAAACTGTATGTGCTTCTTTGTTATGAAGCAACCGTCAATTCATGCAATTTTCAACGCGATTTTCATCATGGGTCATCCGGAAACACTCCCTCGGTGCTTTAGTACATCCGACCCCCCTTACCTCACCGTAGGTGGGAGCCTTTGCGGCACTGGGGTAATGTTGTTGTTGTACTGTTTAACTTTTAACACTAAAAATCACTCAGCTGTTCCTACTAAGGTGGATTGGGATTAGTGTTTATTTCATAAATGTACCACCCTTTGGCATACACTCAACTTTTCAATAAACTTATATTCTTCTTAAAATTACTTGCTTCTCTTTCTATATGATTTGCATGTATAATGGCCCTAAGCAAAAGGCAAATTTCTTATACACACAAGGATCGCACCATCTTCACACCTCCACCCCAATAAATCATGAGTTTGTTTGATAAATACGGGATATACATCATTTTGTTTGCATCAAAAAATGAAACTTAGTGTCATTCGATCAACAACACAATCAGGCTTTGATCCATGCTTAATCATTTGATTGAAGAATATATGATTGTTCATAGTAAAGAATGTTCATATTAAACAAAAAGCAAGATGATACCTTCTTTCGGGAAGAGAGAGATTGACTTGATTCAAGAGGGTGACCTTTGTCCCAGGAGGCCGATAACTGACATCGGTTATCTCCAGATAGGATAAATAGATAGATTAGCAGGAGTCATTGATATGTACTACCCCCCCCCCCCCCCCCTCAAAATAAGAAACTTCTTCTTGACACCCTTTTTCCCAAAAGAAGAATCTAATTTCATCAAAAAAGGCTACTTGTTCATGCAATTTGTCAAAATACTTTCCAAAACCAGTAATAGAAGGAGAGCCTTGGCGCACAGGTTAAGGTGTTGCCATGTAGTCGAGAGATCACAGGTTCAAGTCCTGGAAATCATCTCTCGAGAAAATGCAAGGTAAGGTTTAGGGGTGGGAACCCTACCCATACCCTCGTTCGATGATTTGTGCATTGGACTTGGCTACTCTTTTGAGTTATAGACATGTTACATATGATAAGTTAAGTTAAACCAATACATAAATTCAAAAAATATAAGTATGATTCATGATTTATATTAATTGTATCTTAACATAATTTTAAAATTATACGGAGTACATTGGTGAGGATAATGGAGTTGAAGTGATATTTCAAGCAGAGCTGAGCAAAATGATGAAATAATTAACGTAATAAATTTATAATTCATATCAGAATATAATCTGCAGTAGTAAATAGTAATTTAGCATCAGTCATACTTGGAAACAGGAGTAGTCACAAGTCACAGAGAGTTTCTTCTCCTTCCTGGTATTAAAGCAGAATTTGAATAGCAAATGAAATTACAGACTTCAGTTATTGACAGTAGACTGCATTGTGAATTTTCCCAGATGGGGGCGAATGGGCGAGAGTAAAACTCAATGAGAATAAAGCTGATAGACAACAGCTACTGACCTCAAGTTAAAATGCCATTGAGATGGAGAGAAAGTTGACACTGTTGGTCGCAGACAGTGCAAGTTTGGAACTGAAGGTGCAGAGGGATGCCTAGCAGTACCCAGTAGCATTTTCTCTGTATGTCTCTCTACTTCTCGTAATCAGCTATGTTTTTCCGCATCTAATGGAATAATAAGGCCCAATTGGCCACTTGTTAAAAGTTAAAACACATAAAATGATGAAGTTAGCACAATAGCGCATGATTGCTACGAAGAAATCCTATCTCTTTCTTTGGTTGGAATGTTGGATAGTCTTTGGAAGAGGGAGATGAGAAGAGAGAAGTGTGAGAGAGAAAAGGAATTACCTTGTTTGGCTCAGTGGAGAACTAGGAAGGAAATAAAATAAAGTGTTGGCCCTGAAATAAAAATCTCTCCGTAAGTGGAATGAAAACTTATGAAGGACTCAAGGGCAGTGTTCTAAAAGGCCTCAAAAGGCGCCGCAAAGGCACGCCTAGGCTTGAGGCGTCTATAAAAGGCCTCGCATATCTGCTATGCGTGACAAAAGGCGGTCAACTGCCATGTTGACCAATTAGGCGCAGTTGTGCGACAAAATAAGCACGCCTTTAGCGATGGGACTTGTCGCAAAATTGCCACAATTCTTTGTTCGCACTTCGAATGAGTGCTTCTATACGTAGTATTTATACACAAGCCTATGGAGTAGCAACCGCTAACACATCCGGTGTGGGACGAGCCTTCCTAGCACTACTTGTCAGCCAAACATATTCTTATTTATATTGATAAGTAGAAAATGCAAGTCTTACCATTCCGGTGTGGGATGTCCGTAAGAATTTCCTAGTCTTGCCATGAGAAAAAATGTCACCTTAAGCAAATTAACTTTTTTTGAAAGCCCTTAAGCAAATTAACTACTTCGTATTTACTAATAAAAAATATCGATCTTTTCTTTAATTTGTTATTTGCTTTGTATTACATTCAAAAAGTTTTATTTTTCTTACTAGACCAATTATGTGATTTGAAAAATCTTATTATCATGTCAAGATCAGAATGTGTTAACTTCTCTTTCATACTTCGTAGTATTTACTATATTTACTATTTCCACTCAGTGTTTTTAAGATGAAAAATGTGAGGCCTAGATAAAAGGTGAAAAAAATAACAATATACTCCCTCCGTCCCATTTATATTGTCCCGTTTTACCTTTTCGGGAAGTCCCACTTAAATTGTCTCATACCATATTTGGTAAAGTTTGTGTGGCTCTAAATCATTCTTACTTTATTCTTACTTTATCAATTAATATCAACCACACAAACTCACTTTTCTTAATACTGTGCCACCCTCTTTCGTCCCAATATGAATGGGACGGAGGTAGTATCATTTTATATTTTCACTTTGTATACATTTAAAAATTATGTGTGTGTGTATTGAACATAGTAAAATTAAACTCAATCTAGTATAATACCAGTATATGTTGGACATTTAATTTTCTCTTCATGTGTCACTATAAAATAATAATTATTATCAACATAAATCACAAGCGCCTTTTCCCGCCTAGGCTTCGCCTACTCCCGCCTAGGCTTCAAAGGCTTGAGGCTTGGCCTCGACGCCTTGGCACGCCTCACGCCTTTTAGAACATTGCTCAAGGGTGAGAATTTTAGTAATTACTCCCTCCGTCCCCTTTTAAAAGTCCCGGAAGAGGGTGGCACGAGTTTTAAGAAAAGTGGGTTTGTGTGGTTGATATTAATTGATAAAGTAGGAATAAAGTAAGAATAAAGTAAGAATGATTTTGAGCCACACAAATTTTACCAAATGAAGTATGGGACATTTAAATAGGGACATCCCAATATGGTAAAATGGGACATTTAATTGGGGACGGAGGGAGTAGTATGTTTGGTTTGAGAGTGTGCAAGGGAAAACATGTCTTTAGAAACAAATTCATTTCCTTTCTACCCACTTTTCAAACAAACCAAGTAAAAAGAAAATGCAACTATTCCTTCTCATATATTTATCTCCTACTTCTTTCCGATCCAAGCAGGAGAGCACACTAAAAATCAATCCAATTTACTTCTTTCCTACTTGCCTCTTTAATCTTTATACAAACACCTGACATATTTTCAGGGGATTTTGACTTTGAACCCTATTTTTTGGGTGATATTAGACTTTAGACCCTATTTTCAAAATCATTAATGTGTGCACCCCATCATCCGAAAAATTGTGAAGGATGGGGTGCAAAGTCAATTTATTTTATACTTAAATGGGGTGCACGCATTAATGATTTTGAAAATAGGGTGCAAGGTCAAATATCACTCAAAAAATGGGATGTAAAGTCAAATTCCTCCCAATTTATATTTTCCTCTAATTCCATATCCTTTTTAACTTTGATTTCATATATCAATTCATGCTAACCGATCCTAAACTCTTTGGGACTAAGGCTTGGATGTGTTGTCTCTATCAACAAAAACTAACATTCTAGCCTAAAACTAACAAACATGCAACTAACATTCTTCATAGAAACTATGTGCGAGTGTGCAACTCTTCATGTTTCTCAACATGTCTACTTCAATTGGAGCATTTGTTATATGCACCAAGCTTGGTGTAAACGTGTTCACCTTGTGCCCTCTTTGACATTTGGAAAAAATAACCGTCGAATGGCCATTTGAGCCCACAAATGAGGTTCTAATCTTCCCCAAAGCTACCTTCTCTCGAATAGAATGATAATCAATCTCGATATAATTTGTAGTCTCATCTGAATGAGACCACCCCCAATAATAACTCTCAAACCGACTCATACCAGAACACTAGCAGCAAAAAAATTGAAAAACAGGTGACTGTAGAATAACCATCGAATGGCTATTTGAGCCCACAAATGAGGTTCTAATCTTCCCAAAAGCTACCTTCTCTCGAAGAATGATAATCAATCTCGATATAATTTGTAGTCTCATCTGAATGAGACCACCCCCAATAATAACTCTCAAACCGACTCATACCACAACACTTACAGCAAAAAAAATGAAAATCAGGTGACTGTAAAATAAATCAATTTCCAGTACAACCTCCTAATCTCCTATATTTCCATGATTTCGTGGATCTGAAAACTGCTCCTTTTCTTCGAATTTTCTTCTAATCCAATAGCAGCACTGAAACCCCTACTTCATAGAATTCATCCCAGTTGACACTGAACCGGTCCAACAAAATTCGTGGAATGACATTCCAACTTCCAAGAACTGCCACCAATAAGCAGTTCACAATTTCACACACATTTTATAATAGAACCATTATTATGCAGACTAATCTATTTATGGTATACAATCCGTTCTACTACTATAATTCTCATATGGAGAACACTAGTTCACAAAGTGACTATATTTTGACTACCTTGACATAATTGGGTTCAAGAAGCGCATTGATCCTACAAGGCCACAATCCTATATTCTTAGCAATGTCTGAAATTTTAATATGATTCATTCACTTTAGTCATAGCAAACCCAAATCACCAAAATGAATAAGCTAATTGGGTATGCAAATACGCAATGAAACTAAGCTTTAAATTGTACAGCATTTGGGCCACCCCAAATGTAGTTTTTAAATTGTAGTTTTTTCCTGTTAATCTGAAAGCAGCAAGCTTTCTTGTTTGTTATTGGGTGGGGGTCTATTGGTCTAATATGGGTAAATATGGGGTGTTTGGAACTGAAGTACTTCTGCACTTTCACCCAAACACTCACTGAAGGAGCAACAGCAGTTTTAAGAATCAATCCAAACACCCCTTATACTTAACCCTTATATCAATTAGATTAAAACAAAGTGGAGAAAATACATGAATGCATGCCTGTGGTTAGTAATTTCCAATGAAGAGCGAGGTAGTAGCAATCAGTTTTCACGTCTGAGATAATTGGGGCGGGGATGGACAGAACTGCTTTGTTCACCTCTCATGCGAGTCCAGAACTCTAAAGTCGAAACTGCCGAGAGTATTCATAACTTTTTTTAAAAGGCGGTCAAATAGGCACTCAATTAACACTGAATTAAAAAACAATGAAGAAAGTATAATACATACAAATATGACCAAATATAAAATATAAAATATTAATAAAATTAAAAATCTCAAATAAAATTTATTGTAGGAAATAGTAGGAATAAAATAAAAATTAAAGAATTTTAAACTATTAGTATCTTTTCATCTTATTTATATTTTTATATTCATATTTTGAACTAACTGGAAAATATAAATATTTTTGCCATATATGTTTATACTCTATCTTATAATTTTATATTTATTTTTTTCAATTTATTTCAATGTTGAACCTTTTTAAAAGTTGAGGGGTTAATTGAACAACTCGAACATGACCGATAACGTGGCGAAGTTAGATGCACAGTTGACAACTTAATCAGTGACATGGCGAGTGACTGGATGGTAACTCATTAAATTGAAATTTGAATCATTTTTTTCAAGTTCGAGGTGTGATTTGGATTTTTTAATTCATGAACTGAATTGAGCTTACCTGATAGGTACAAGCCTATTTGAATCTTTAGCCTTTTTAAATTGTCACGAGGTACTTCGGATTATTTTGCTGCAATACGCTTGAAACGAGGAGTGGTACCATTGTTCCAGAAAAAAGCAAAGTGAAGATGCGGCTCTCGCGCCTGTAAAAACTTATACGGTTTTGAGAGTTTTGGTTCGAATTTGACCCATTTCTTCTTTTTTGTATGATTTTCCTACCTATTATCTTTATATTCCGGCGCATAAACCGAACATGGGAATCGAAGAATAAGATCAAATAAATGAATTCTAAATGAAGCGGCTGAGGGGCAGGTAAATTGTGTACTTGAATTTAATTCAAAATAATGCCAACATAGTTTGCTTAATTTAAAGATAAATTACCTGGGTTTTGTCAAAAATAATACGTAGTACTAAAATACGGAGTAGATGTTATGGAATCAAATAATGACTTTCAATAAATTCAAAAAATGAGTCTAAACTACTACTAGTGATCATCATGACGGTGATTAATCCAACTAATGACTAATCTGCCAGTGATCAACCCGATCAGTGACCATGACCACACGCATCAATGATCAATCCAGTTAATAACTAGCCCAACTAATGACCAATCTAGCCCGTGAGCATGACCAACCCGACCAGTGACCACGACCAACTCGATCAGCTACAGTGACAATGATATAAACATTGTCGGTGATAGTAAACACCGGCGGCGGTTACAGTGCCTCCGCCATCATCTGAGCCAAGATCGCCACCTCATTCCCCAGCCCCTCCCCGACCACCATCTCCCCCCCCCCCCCCCCCCGTCACTGTCATCCCCAGGCTCGTCTTGCATTCCCGACGACCAGCTCCGCCCCCTCCGGTCACCCCCACCGTTGTCGCGGACCATCTCAATCAATTTCCTTGGCATCAAATCGCAATGGAAGCAAGGGAGCTCGCTTTCCCTCACAAGTTTTCCTATAGGGCTCGACATTGTATATTTCTTGGCTACTCTCATGATCAAAAGGCATATCGCCTCTATGACCTAGATTTCCAAAAGACCTTTGTCAAGTTGTGACGTTGGTTTTCATAAAAACAAACTCAACAAGCTAAGTCTTGACTACACCTTCCCGGTCGCCCCTCTACCCATTCTTGGACATCACCATGACCATGTACAGGCAC